TGGCCCGAGACGGCCCAAGAGCCCCTAAAGATCGGCCCAAGATCGCCCAAGAGGGCTCCAAGATGATCCCAAACGGCGCCAGAGGGCTCCCAAGACGGCCCCAAGAGGACCCCAAGACATCCCCAAAGGCCTCCAAGACGCCGAAGATGGCCTCCAAGACGGCCTTGGAGCACAACAAGAGGGCCGCAGGTCGGCCCAGAGAGGCTCCCCAGGACGACTTCGGACGGCGTTAGACGGGCCAGGAATGGCCTAAGACGGCCAAAGAGGCCCCCCCGAAAAAACCTCCAAGGCCCCTAAGAGGCCCAAGGAGGCCCCCAAAATTCCTCCAAGATGCTTCCAGGAAATTACCCGGAGGCCGCAAGAGTGCCCCCAAAGGCTCCGAAGATGCCCCCTCCTTTTTCTACTCCTCCTGATCTTCCCCGCCGTCATCCCGCAAATGTTCCCCGAAGGGTTTCCACAACGGCTGGGGGAACACATGGTCCGATAGCTTGGCAGAGCTCTTCCAACGCTTGGCCACATGGGCAATTCCAAAAGGCAGGGGGCGGCGGTGTTTCGCCGTGGGCGTCTTCGATACTCCCTGACAATCAGGCCCCCACTCTCCGCCTCTCCTCCTCCTCCTCCTCCTCCTCCTCCTCCTCCTCCTCCTCCTCTTCATCCTCCTCCTCCCACCTCCCTGATGTAAGCAGAAAAAGCATCGGCAACGCTTCGGGTTGAGCCTGAAGGTGAGTTGCTGGCCCGCGCTGCACACATTTTCCAAGTCCGCTCCGCACGAAGCAAAAGTCAAAGGTTCTCCTCCTCCTGCACCCCCTCCTCCCTCCCCCTTCTCTCCCTCCCTCCTCTCTCCTCGTCCCTCGTCCTCATCCTTCGCCTCTTTCCTCCTCCCTTTTCCTCCCTCCTCCTTCTCCTTCTCCTCCTCTTTACTTTCTACCCATCCCTCCCTTTTCCACCACTTCCCTTGCAGCGGCGAGAAGGGGACGTCTTGTGTGAGACCTGAGCTCGCCTGACACCCCCTGAGGATACAATGGCGTAGCCAAAAAACAACCCATTGCGTGGGCAGCCAATCTGGAGTCCAACGTAACACAGTAAATTTCACAGCTTCACTGACCCATCGCTGAATTCGGTCAACGTCTCCACTGGTGACCGCAACGCCGCAGTGGCATCGCTGACGTGAGTGGAACCCAAGAGGGGCAGGAGTAAAGGAACAAGGAGCAGGAGGTGGCCGTGGGGTGATGCTGAAGTATGACGTTCAGGGGGATGGAGATCTAGGTCGGAGGCTTCCCGATCGCCCGATCGTCGAATGCTGAACGATCCGCGAGACACTCATAACGCCCTGCGTACGTGTCTCAAAGCGTCTGGGGGGGGGGCTTTTGGGGCCTCTTGAGAACCTCCTGGTGATTCGGCGAAACCCGCTTCGCACTCTTTTTTGTTAACGAGGGAAACCGGAGGTCACCAGACCTTGCTATGTATCGCGGATCCCACATGGGCCGTCCACTTTCCTCAAGCGGGCACGCGCGGAACGCATCTTTTCCACGCCGAATCGGACTTTACCTCGTTCTTCATCGAGCGGAAACTCGCCAGCCCTCTTCAAGTCGATTCCGGGGATACTTTGGATGGGAAAATATTCCCCCCCCCCTGAATCTGCTGGGGGGGTTGGGCACGTGCTGTCGGCACGGGTGGAGGGGGGGTTGAAGGAAGAAGAGGATGAGGAGGGGGAGGACGGAAGGGGCGGGATTGGGCAAGCTCAGTCGGGAGGTGAATCACCCCCCCTTGATAAACACTCATCCATAATAACCAGCTAAAAGAAAGCAATCGGCGATGCATCGGCGACGTCGGCGATGCATCGGCGACGTCCGCGTGAAGCAAAACGGGCTCCACATTGACCCGCATCGGCGATGCATCGTCGATGCGGCGCGATCCTCCGACCCCATCTACTCCGTCCCCATCAAGGAGGCCTAGAAATGCTGAAAGAGAGCCCTGGGCCTGCGCCCTTTCCGGGCGGGCGTGTCCCCCTGCAGACGGATTGGACGAACAATTAATAACAGTCATAGCATATTCGAAACATATACAACAAAAGTATTCGAACAATCGTCCCCATACTATTGTTTGACTATTTTTGAATATTTCTCCTGTGGAGGGACACGCCCGACTTAAAGCTAAAAGAGAATCCTCGGGGATGTTCTGACCCGGGTCAATCCAGACCCGGGTCAGTCAGGCCTTGCAGAATCCTGCAACATGCTGCGCCCACACCTGGGTCAATGCGAAGGATCCTGAAAGATCCTGCACGATCCTGCACCCAAGCCCGGGTCATTGCAACCTTGGCCCTGCAGGATCCTGCAGGATCCGGCGCTCTGGCTGACCCCCGTTTGCATTGGCCCACGTCTCTTGAGCTCCTCCTCCCCCTCCTCCTCCTTCCCCTCCCCCTCCTCCTCCTCCTCCCCCTCCTCCTCCCCCTCCTCCTCCTTCTCCTCCTCCTCGTTCTCCTCCTCCTCCTGCTCCCCCTCCTCCTCCTTCTCCTCCTCGTCCTCCTCCTCCTCGAGCCCCGAAGCCCTGGGCCTGCGAGCTCTCCGAGAAGCGAGCGCCCACCCGGCCCCCGGAGGAGCGCGGGGGGCCGCGAGGGAAGGGGGGGCGGCCTGCCAGCACGCCCCCGCGGCAGTGCGCCAGCGCGGCGTCCGGGAGGTCCAACGACAGGGCGCCCGTGGTGCGGTGGTGGTAGACCAGGCGGAGCGGCGCCTGCCAGGGAGCCACGTGCGAACCCTACGCCTGGTTCCTGAGTCAGCGCGGATCCAGCGCGGATCCGAAACATCCGCGCGGCCCTCCGGGTTGTTTTTTGTTTGTGTCGTCCTTCGTTCCCCTCACGAGGGCATCAGCGAACGCTCTAAGCTGCTTACTCTGGGTTTCTTAATATGCGTGGGGGGTACTCCCCCTCCGACGGGGGTCAACCTCGCCTCGTCGTCGCGGCGCGACGGGGGTCGGAGCGCCTTTGGCGCGCGGCGGCTGCCCGCGACGGGGGTCGATGTGGGGCTGTCAGCGGGGGTGACGCCCCCCCGACGCTTATCAAGAAACTCGGAGTACCCCTACCCCCCCACGATTTCTGAGGGAGGGTGGGTGAACTTCGTTCGGGAGCTCCCGAGCGAAGTGAACCCCACCCTCCCCCTCAGCTCCTGAGCGAAGTGAACCCCACCCTCCCCCTCAGAAGTCGTGGGGGGTAGGGGTAGGGTTCGCATGTGGCGCCCTACCTGCGGGGTGGGCCAAAAAGCAAACGGCACCACCCCACCTACGGCAAGTTCGTGTCGTGTCGACCCCGGCGCTGGCTCCCGACACCGCGGGTACCGTTCCACCTTGAACGATCGGCCGTTTCCGAAACGTCAGCTCGTCTGGCATCGACCGACTCTGGGTCGCCGGCGTTCAACGTTGAACGCCGGCGGCGGGGTCGGCGCCGGTCGACACGACGCGCAGCTACCGTACGGCCCCACGGGCCGCCCCTCGGCGCATACCGAGAGTGCCAGCTTGGGTTTTTGCATGGTGTGCGCCACGGCGCCCGAGGGGCCGCAGCGCAGCATGGAAGGCCGCAGGCGGGGTGGTGTCTCGCTTGTTTTTCGGTCGACGACGGTCGCGAAGCGAGCTCGGGTGGTTTACGACGCCCGACGAGCCAACTCTGCTCGGCTGCGGACCTTCGGCCAGCGCCCTGCGAGAATAGTGGCAAGACATATGGCTCCATTGGGGTGCGTGGCCTCCTGGCAAGGTTACCCGAGGCCTCTCAAACAGTGGCTGGCGAAGTGCTCACACGGGCAGCGAAACCAATTTTCGGCGGTGGACAAACCTCCCTTTAGTAAACCTCCCCTTAGTGAAAACGGCCCCTGGACCGACGGACCTGGACCCGCAAAAATGACGGCCGCGACGCCCTCTCGCGAACCGAAAACGGCCCAATTCACTCATCGACGTGTGAGGGCAGGAGGTCTATCCACCCCCGAAACTGAAGCCCCTTATGCAGACACATCCGATGGCTACTGTGCACCATCCCCCCAACGGGGGGCCCCCGCGCGCGCCTCGGGCGCTCACTGACCCGCGTCGATGCAAACGTGGGTCAGTCAGGCTTTGCAGGCTCCTCAGGGGGCCACAGGCGAACCCCACCCCCACCCCCCACGATTTCTGAGGGGGAGGGTGGGGCTCACTTCGTTCGGGAGCTCCCGAGCGAAGTGAACCCCACCCTCCCCCTCAGGAAATCGTGGGGGGTGGGGGTGGGGTTCGCCTGCAAGCTGTGGCCCCCTAATCCTGCAGGATCCCGCGCCCAAGCCCGGGTTGATGCGACCTTGGCCCTGGAGGATCCTGCAGGACCCGGCGCTCTGGCTGACTCGGGGCGCGCAGACATGGATTGGCGATCCGTGGCTTTGGCGCGCGCGGTCGCCGAAAATCCATGGATCGGGGGAGGTGCCCTCCCCGAACTGCGGCCGGTGCCGCCTCCTTCGGCGGCGGAACTCCGCGATCTCCTATGGAGACGGGGCCCGTTGCTATAATTCACGCCCCCTTGGTACATGTCTGCGATCTCGCCGGACTGCTGGGGGCACCGCGCGCGCCTCGGGGACTCACGGACTGACCCACGTCGATGCAGGCCCGGCTCAGCCAGGCCCTGCAGGGTCCCACAGGATCCTGCACCCGAGCCAAGATCGGTGCGATGCGCACATCGCACTGATAACGGTTTTGTTTGGGAATTGTGGCTGGCCGCCGAGTTTCGCACCAATGAGAACACCCTTTCAATCATCCCTGTTCTCACCGCCAAATGACCTATGTAAGTCCCACGTTAAAGTTGGGTATACAAGATCAATGCGACCTTGGTCCTGCAGGATCCTGCAGGGTCCGGCGCTCAGGCTGACCTCCGTTGGCATAGACTTAGGTCGAACGTGTCCCCCCGCAGGCGGATTTTGGACGACGAATACCAAAACATGCGCAAAACAATGTCCCAAACTAGTTCTTTGTGTTAAATATGATAAAGTAGTCCCCAGACTATTTTTTACTATTTTCGAAAAGTCCTCCTGTATAGGGACAGGCCCGACTTGAGCATAGACCCCCGTCCTCTGCGCCCCGAGCGCCCCCGCGTCCCGTTGTCTCCGGCGGGCCGCGGGAGCGAGCGCTCGAGGCGCCCGCGAGCGGGCTGCCGGGCCCGCGCGCGCGCGCTCGAGACATCCGCAACGAATCCTGATGTCAGACATCTGCCTGGGAAGCCTGGGGGCGTGGCAACAAGCGTCTCGCTCGAGAAATCCTCAAGGCCAGGGCACGTGAAAACAAGCATTTCACCTGAGACATCCCCTGAAGTCTGGTCCCCAGGAGAGGAACGATCTATAGCACCAAGCAAACGTTTCGCTCGAGACATCCTCGATCCATTATGCAAAACAAGCGTTTCGTTAGAGACATCCGCAACAAACGAAAATGCTTACCCTGTGTTTTATCGATCGGAATTTCAAAAACCAACGTTCCGCTGGGGACATCCTCGAATGTTATTCCGCTGGCCCACCTCGACCTCGTTTTCATCGCACATAAAATTCGCCAGCCCACCTCAACTCTAGGCCGGGGGGAAACAATTAAAACAAAAACATGGGCCAGCGTCCTTTCCGGGGAACAATCGTCCTCCTCGTCTCCCCCATTCTTACCACCTCTCCTCCTCCTCCTTCTCCTCCTCCTCCTCCTCTTCCTTCCCCTCCTCTCCCATTTTGACCCCTCCTACCCCCTCTGCCGCAACTCCTCCTGACCCGCCGCGCTACCCTCCTCCTCCTCCTCCTCCTCCTCCTCCTCCTCCTCCTCCGCCCTCCTCCTCCTCCTCCTCCTCCTCCTCCTCGCCGTGGGGTGCAATAGCCATTTGGGTTCGACCGTGCTGACTGCCCTGGTGCCTGGCAATTCCACTGCCACACTGACCCAGACGTCCGCCCCAGCGGGGCGGAACACGGCACGGGGGGAGGCGAAAGCACCCCGACCGGCACCGCCTGGATGCAGCGGAGGCCAGTCCACAAGAAACCTGCCACAAGAAACCCAACCCTGAGACCCCAGGACGTCCCTTGATCTCTGGTGTAGGAGCGTCACGCTTTTTTCCGTCGCAAAACCATCGAAGCCCCAAAAAACCAGGGCACCCTGGAGGCAAGCAGGGTGTCTCTTGGCATGGATCCCCACTGTACCTCCTCCTGCTCCTCCCTCCCTCTTTACGCCCCTCCTTTTGCCCACCCCCTTCCAGGTTACCCCAAAATCGAATCGATAAGTCGGATCGGCGATCGAAATGAATCGGATCGGCGGAAATCGGCAGGCCAGTAAGCCGTTATTGAGGAATCGGAATCCAGATCGGACGGAATCCGACGTCGAATCGAATCGGAATCGGAGGCCATCAAAGTCGAGTCGAATCGAATCGAATCGGAGGATTCGAAACGAGCCCTGCCCTTCCCACCAGAACCTCTCCAGGAGCGCACTCTGATCAGGATTTCGCGGCGTGTCCAAGCGCAGCGTCGGGGCTCCACCCACCGAGGACTCCAACCGGCAACAGACCGCAAAACCCTCGACAGCCTCCTCGTCCTCCGCCTCCGCCTCCTCTGCATCCTCGCCCTCTTCGCCCTCTTCCCCGTCATCCGCCTCGCCTCCTCTTCATCCTCGCCCTTCATCCTCCTCTTCATCCTCGCCTTCCTCTCATCCTCGTCCACCTCCATCCAACAGCGGGACCACTAACGGGGATAAGGCGGCCCAAAACCATGTCATCTTAAATCCTCCTCCTCCTCTCGCTCGCCGACTTTGCAAGGGATGCGGTTCTTGTGGTGAAACGGAAAACTTGTAGGGTCACACGGGAAAGGGACTTGGGGCGGACGGGTGTATTGCAGCATCTCCGAGTCTGATGCATCTTTGGTTTACTCTGGTCCTACACCTCCTTCTTCTCCTCCGCCTCCGCCTCATCCTCATCGTCCTTGTTGTCCTCGTCGTCCTCGTCCTCGTCGTCATCATCCTCATCCTCATCCCCATCCTTCTCCTCCTCCTCCGCCTCCTCCATCCCCCCCCGCCCTGCTCGCCTCCTCCTCCTCCTCCTCCTCCTCCTCCTCCTCCGCCCTCTCCTCCGCCTCCGCCTCCGCTCCCTCCTCGTACTCTCCCTCCTCCTCCATCCCACCCTGCTCGCCAGTTCCTCCTCCTTTCCTCCGCCTCCGCCCGCTCCTTGTCCTCGTCCTCGTCCTCCATCCTTCCCCTGCTCGTCTCCTCCTCCTCCTCCTCCTCCTCCTCCTCCTTCTCCTCCTCCTCCTCCTCCTCGTCCTTCTCTTGCCCCCCCTCCTTCCCACTGGCCTCCTCCTCCTCCGCCGCACCCGCTTCCTCCTGGCCCCTATCCTGCTCCAGCCTGCCGCGCGCGCAAAGGGTTCCCACAGTCCGCCCGGCCCGCCGCTGCCCCCCAGGGAAGGCCGCGCCTGTCCAGGCCGGCCTGGCAGGGGCCCTGCGGCGCGGGGGCGGGGGGAGGCGCCGCGGCGGGTGCGGTCGTCGGGACGGTCGAAACGGGTGCAGTCAACCCGCAGAGGAAGGATGCGGGATGAGGATGCAAGGCCCCTGGAAGCTTATTTCGAAGTTTATCTCGAAGTTTTCGAGCGGGGCGCGGCCAACGAAAGCGGCCAAGGATGGACCGAGGAGGCAAGGATGCAAAGGTACCCTTGGGAAGGCTGCCCGTCCTTACTATGCGGGCCGACTGTACGGAAAGAACGGGCACAAAGGCCGACGGCAGT